CTTTATCACATGAAGAGCGAGATAGAGAACTGACAGAGAAAGGAACAGAGGACTCAGGCCACATGGGAGGTGGAGCTGACACAGAGGGCCGGTGAGCTTGAGTAAGCAACTAAACACAAGAGTACTCCCTACTTCTTCATTAAATGTTGTTGCAGTTTGTAGCAAGTCACTCATCTGAAGCTTATCAAATGAGTGACAGCTGTCAGAAATTTTTAGTTTTCATTGACTCTTCTTTAGACTTTTTTAACCACTGCTTCCTTTGCATGTGCATTGAAATGGAAGTCCATAACTCACAGCCAATCTAAACAGCTGTTCTCTTACATGCTGAATGCTCTGCATACAGCTGCCAAAAAATAATAAGCATTTAATGCAGCCAGAACAGGAGGTGAACACCAAGAGTCAACAAACCTGCTTTAAAGGTCAGGATCAATCACCTGACTCAACCATTCACCAGGCTTCAATGACAGTAAGTCTAATGTGAATGTAAGGAGCCTTCTGTTTGTAAAGGGAATATTTTTGATAAACTTATGTCAAATTAGTAAACATGCCCAGTCATTACATTTATCTCATACTGTGGATACATATTTTTACCATTAAATTTATGTAAATTAGCCTGCTCTGCTTTCCTAGACCTGCTCTTTTATAATGAAGCAGTGTCTAGGTTCTATATTAATACTGTGAAAGTATCAAAGCACTCAGTCCACAGAGAAATGCACACAGCCTGTATTAAGACACTGAGCCTTTTAACGAGCCGTCAGGATTTCCTGAACTTTGTGATGTCACAACAAAAGCAGTCACGCCTCATGCACGCCCACCCAGACCCACCGTCCAATCTTGAAATGTTTCACCTGAAATCTGCTATATTTTTATATTCGGTCACTCAGAGAACAGTCAGACGGTTGTAACTACAGCTCCAGAGAGAAGCCCAAAAGAGAGAAGATGTAAAAGTACATTGAGATACCATTAAAACATATCTTCTTATGGATGAAACACCAGAAAAGTTAAGTAAATTTACAGCAAATTATTAAGAGTAGATATGTAACTAAACTTAGGCAACAAAAGTGAGCATCTCAAGCTAATGAAATATTTAAGGTATAGTTTCCAAATTGTGCTCCCCATGCAATCTCCCAGGCTCTATATGAACGTAAATTCACACATGTAAATGCATAATGCAATAAAAATGCATTTTCAGGTAAATGCAAATTAAACCAATACAACATTCAATGGTAGTTCAGTAAACTCAAAAATGGTGCAACCTGCTCAATTCAAACATAAAATTCATCAACAGGTAGATGGTTATTTTTGGAAAGGACAATAGTTTTGTCAACTCAGTCCATCTGTGGTTGTTGTGCAACCAGGCCCACCTCTGCATCCACTCCTGCACTGTTAGAGGGTTAGGGCAGAGGACAGTGTTTTTGTTTGTGTATCATGCTGAAATCAGGGTAATGACTATGATTTTTCATCCTCTTCATCAACTTACCGAGGCTGTTGCAGGATGCAGACCCTCAGCTGGTCCTGATGCTTTTGGTGTGAATGTGGAAGTGGGGGAGACCTGAGCTCTGAGGCCTCTGCTCGCCTCTTGATAGTTACATCTATTTGAGAAGGTGTGTGTGCTTCGAAGACTTTGAGACGTCTCCACTGACCACATACCACTGTCCACCTCACTGCCTGTCTGATCTTACAGTTCTAAAGTCTTTGTGTCCTCACAAGGTGTGCATGACTGCTTTGTGAGTGTATTTTGGGCAGTTATGAGTGAAGTCCTGTGAAGGTGTGTGTCTGCTCTGTGCATATACTGTGTCTGTCTTCAGCCCCTCTGGGTGGCTGTCATCCCCCCTCCATGCAAGCCCCATCTGACCCTGCATGAGCTCCTGACACAGAAAAAGAGAGACGGAGGAGTAGATCACTGTTGTGGGTTTATTTTGTATTTGTGCTCTTGTTTGGATATGTAGACAGAATGGAAAGACAAAAGTGGACAAAGTACAAGTACAGAACATGCCAATATATGTAAGACATCTCAGTGTTGTGTCTTTCAGGTGAAAAACCTTTTAGCTCCAAAAATGGCAGCTTCTTAGGTGAAGTTACTTTTCTCTAGATAAATAAAAAAACTAAACTATAATGAATAACAGGCAACATAATTATTCTATTGTTTAAGTAAAATTGCGTCTAATTAAGTGAATACTAAATTAAAATGAAATTTGGAGGTTTCACCTGCTAACAGCATTGTCTTTAATCTGTAATTATGTCAAACCAGTGCATTTTCATGGCCAACAATCATCTTGAAAAAGGTTGTTTTCTTCAGTATAAAAGCTGTACTGTATAGAGTTAAAGTAATTGATGCTGATTCTAACAAAGGGGAATCTTTCTCCACACACTCCTGCTGCCAGGCAGTGACTGAGCAATCAATCAAAGTAATATTACTCAGTTAATCGCATCAACTCTGTAAACAAAACAATTTATTATTATGTTCAGCTTATGGAAATAACAAATGGCAGATGCATATAAGCAAGCGAACAGGAGTTTATTCTAACAGATATGCTCTGCATTTGCTGGCAATCACAGACAGTAAATGAAAAGGTCAACAATCAGGAACTATTTTAAATCACCATTCCCTATATGATACATTATAAAACATGGTTCACAAAATATGTCTATGAGTACACTTTGTTTCGCCTTTTATAAAAACATCAACCATCAGAATTAAGGTTATGCAAAAGCTTATTACAGACTGTTAAAACCATCCACACACATGCTAATACCATCAGTCTGTAATAAGCTTTTGCATGAACCTTAATTCTGATGGGTTGAGTTTTTATAAAAGGCAAGAAACAAAGTGTACTCATAGACTATTTTGTTGAACCATGTTTTATAATGTTTATCATATAGGGAATGGTGATTTTAAATAGTTCTGGATTGTTGACCTTTTTCATTACTGGTCTGTGCTCATTTGCCAGAAATGCAGAGCATATCTGTTTAGAATAAACTCCTGTTCGCTTGCTTATATGCATCTGCCATTTGTATTTCATAAGCTGAACATTTAATAATAAATTGTTGTTTACAAGTTGAATCGATTAAACTGAAAGTAATTATTACTTTTGATTGATTGCCCTCAGTCACTAGCCTGGCAGGCAGGAAGGTGTTGGAGAAAGATTCCCCCCTTTGTTAATGAATCAGCATCATTACTTTAACTTATACAGTACAGCTTTTATTTACTTAAAGAAAACACCTTTTTCAGATGATTGTTGGCCATGGAAAATGCACTGGTTTGAATTAATTACAGATTAAACACATGCTGTGTAGCAGGTGAAAACCTCAAATTTCATTTTTTAATTTAGTATCACTTTAATTTAGAGCAATTTTTACTTAAACAATAAGATAATTATTGTTACTTGCTCTTATGCAAAGGTTTTTTTTTATTTATTCTTAAGAAAAAGTAACTTCACACTAGAAGGCTGCCATTTTTGGAGCTACAAGTTTTCACCTGGAAAGCCAACAACACTGAGATGTCTTCATTATATGGCAGGTTCTGTACTTGTACTTTGTTCCACTTTTGTCTTTCCATTTCTGTTCTACATATCCAAACAAGAGCACAAATACAAAATAAACCACAACAGTGATCACTCCTCCGTCTCTCTTTTTTCTGTGTCAGGAGCCTCATTGCAGGGTCAGATGGGGCTTGCATGGGAGGGGGGATGACAGCACCCAGGAGGGGCTGAAGACAGGACACAGTATATGCACAGAGCAGGACACACACCTTCACAGGACTCAACTCATTCATAACTTGCCAAAATTACACTCACAAAGCAGTCATGCACACCTTGTGAGGACACAAAGACTTTTAGAAACTGAAGATCAGACAGCCAGTGAGGTGACAGTGGCTTATGTGGTCAGTGGAGACGTCTCAAAGTCTCGAAGCACACCACCACCTTTCTCAAATCAGTGTAACATCAACAGAGCGAGCAGAGGGAAACCTCAGAGCTCAGGTCTTCCCCCACTTCCACATCACACCCAAAGCATCAGGACCACGCTGAGGGTCTGCATTCTGCAACAGCCTCGGTAAGTTGATGAAGAGATTAAATCATAGTCACTACCCTGGATTTCAGCATATACACAAAACCAAAAGAACACTGTTCTCTGCCCTTAAACCCTCTAACAGTTGCAGGCAGTGATGCAGAGTGGGGCCTGTTGCACACAACCCACAGATGACTGAGTTGACAAAACTATTGTTCTTTCCAAAAATAAACCATCTACCTGTTGATGGTAAATTCACACATGTAAATGCATAATGCAATAAATGCAAATTAAACCAATACAACATTCAATGGAGTGTCAGTAAACTCAAAAATGGTGCAACCTGCTCAATTCAAACATAAAATTCATCAACAGGTAGATGGTTATTTTTGGAAAGAACAATAGTTTTGTCAACTCAGTCCATCTGTGGGTTGTGTGCAACCAGGCCCCACCTCTGCATCCACTCCTGCACTGTTAGAGGGTTAGGGCAGAGGACAGTGTTCTTGTTTGTGTATCATGCTGAAATCAGGGTAGTGACTATGATTTTCATCTCTTCATCAACTTACCGAGGCTGTTGCAGGATGCAGACCCTCAGCGTGGTCCTGATGCTTTGGTGTGAATGTGGAAGTGGGGGAGACCTGAGGCTTTGAGGCCTCTGCTCGCTCCGTTGATGTTACATTGATTTGAGAAGGTGTGTGTGCTTCGAGACTTTGAGACGTCTCCACTGACCACATACCACTGTCCACCTCACTGCTGTCTGATCTTACAGTTCTAAAGTCTTTGGTGTCCTCACAAGGTGTGCATGACTGCTTTGTGAGTGTATTTTGGGCAGTTATGAGTGAGTCCTGTGAAGGTGTGTGTCTGCTCTGTGCATATACTGTGTCTGTCTTCAGCCCCTCTGGGTGGCTGTCATCCCCCCTCCATGCAAGCCCCATCTGACCCTGCATGAGCTCCTGACACAGAAAAAGAGAGACGGAGGAGTAGATCACTGTTGTGGGTTTATTTGTATTTGTGCTCTTGTTTGGATATGTAGACAGAATGGAAAGACAAAAGTGGAACAAAGTACAAGTACAGAACATGCCATATAATGTAAGACATCTCAGTGTTGTTGCTTTCAGGTGAAAACCTTGTAGCTCCAAAAATGGCAGCTTCTTAGGTGAAGTTACTTTTCTTAGATAAATAAAAAAAACCTTTGCATAAGAGCAAGTAACATAATTATCTTATTGTTTAAGTAAAATTGCTCTAATTAAGTGATACTAAATTAAAATGAAATTTGGAGGTTTTCACCTGCTAACAGCATGTGTTAATCTGTAATTATGTCAAACCAGTGCATTTTCATGGCCAACAATCATCTGAAAAAGGTTGTTTTCTTCAGTATAAAAGCTGTACTGTATAGAGTTAAAGTAATGATGCTGATTCATAACAAAGGGGGAATCTTTCTCCACACACTCCTGCTGCCAGGCAGTGACTGAGCAATCAATCAAAGTAATAATTACTCAGTTAATCGATCAACTCTGTAAACAACAATTTATTATTATGTTCAGCTTATGGAAATACAAATGGCAGATGCATATAAGCAAGCGAACAGGAGTTTATTCTAACAGATATGCTCTGCATTTGCTGGCAAATGAGCACAGACAGTAAATGAAAAGGTCAACAATCAGGAACTATTTTAAATCACCATTCCCTATATGATACATTATAAAACATGGTTCACAAAATATGTCTATGAGTACACTTTGTTTCTGCCTTTTATAAAAACATCAACCCATCAGAATTAAGGTTCATGCAAAAGCTTATTACAGACTGTTAAAACCATCCACCACACATGCTAAATACCATCAGTCTGCTTTCATTGATTGGTAAAATAGTAACCATCACCCCATCAACCACTTCTCTCTTAATTGCAAATAATGTGCTGTGTAATCTCGAACCACATCTCAGTGGTGTTCACTTGTCACTGAATTGGCAGAATTACTCTGTGGATGGGTGAAGCTCAATAATCCTTCATGTAAACACACAGGTAGACTTAGAAAAATACATCTTTGGCACACATTAGATTTAATTTAATTACTTAATCGTATCCTCTATTTCAGTTTCAATAATGCAGTAACACTGATAATGATTCCAAATTTACGATATAAACAAAACATCCACAGCTTTGAACTGTGGAGGCCTATATCTGGAATTCTCTGCCATGTAAATGCACTGAGGATTCAAAGTGAGACATTTCTCAAAGTAATCTAGAAGAGTTCTAGGCTTGGTGCTAGATTATGTCAGGTGTTCTAGTCTTGGTTCAAGAAGAATGAATGTTCTGAGCTACTTTCTAGAGGAAAGTTCTGTAGAAAAAACACAGATTGTAGAAAAGGTCAGAAGTGAGTTCCAGGTCTCGTTCTAGAACATTTTAGAAGCCTTGAAATTCGGACCTGATTCTAGAAGAGTTCTAAGAGTTCTAAGGTTTGATGTAGAGCTGGGAGAGCTAGAATAGATCCTGGAAGTGATTTGTGTTCTAGGTTTGGGTCTAGAAAAAGTGTTCTAGAAAAGTCAAGAGCTCTACAGCTGGCTTAAAAGGCATGGAGCTCTTGACTGGGAAAAGAGATTTTGGTTAAGAAGAGACGAATTTGAGTATCAATGTTTGGAAATAGAAACCTTGAAATCTAGAATTCCACAGGACACTGGATGCTTTATGGTGAAATCTAGAAGAGGTTGGTAGATCTAAAAAGGTTGTAGAAGAACTTAATGTTCTAGGTTTGGCTCAAGAAGACATGAGGAGTCGTCAGGTTTGGCTGTATAAAACAAGGAAGAAGAGTATAGAGCTCTAGATCGGGGGGTCGACTATGAGAGGTAGGAGTTCTTGTGCTAAAAAATTCTACAAGAAGCCTAGAAATCTAGGTTTGATTCTAGAAGACACCAGGAGCTCAAAAGTTGGGAGACTTTATATCAGTAGTAGAAAAAAAAAAATGTTTTTCTAGATTTGTTCAAGAAAAAGTTTTTTTGTGGTAAAAGCCTTGGTTCTAGCGTAATTTGAGAGTTTACAGCTGGTTCAAACAAGACACAGAGCTCTAGATTTGGTAGTAGAAGTTCTATAAAATGGGACTAGAAACAGTAGGAGCTCCAGGATTCATTCTAGAAGATTCAAGAGGGAGCCTTGAAATCTAGACTTGATACTAGAAGATATTTATGACTGGATTTAGAAGAAGGTTGTATAAGACACTGGTGTCTAGGCTTGGTTCTAGAAGGAATGGCAGGTCTGATTTGGATTCTAGTTCACACTGTGAGTTCTAAAGTACGTTCTAGAAGAGACTGGAAGCTCAATAATTGTTTTCAGAAAACAATTCTAGAAAAAGTTGTGGAATCTAGGCTTGTTTCGAGGAGGGTTTGGAGATTTTGCACATAAATCTAGACGTAATTCTTGTTTTAGACTAAGTGAAAAGTTCTAGTAAAAGAAGTTCTAGATCTAGGACACTACACATTTCTGTTGGGGCCCAGAGTCAGATTTGGAAACTTTTAGGGTCGAGGCTGTGTTTACCATGCTCTCAGGCAGGGCCTGAGTTCTGACTGTGCCCAGGGGTTTTGATAAAGCTTCAGATGAACTTGCTTCTGTGGTGTCAGTGGGGCCCTCAACATCCTGAAACATGAGCAGGGTTAGAAGATCAGTCAGGTCAGTCAGTTAAAACACTGATCATTTAGTCTAAAGGTTTACCACAGGATAAGGAGACACACAGTTATTGATACACTCTGTTAAGGAATTTGAGGAAGTTACGTAATGTTACAGACATCTTTTTGTTATGTTGTCTTATATAACACCTGCTGTGTTGTAAAATAATTAAATGGCTTTTTTTTGGCAGTTTTCATTCATTCTTATTAAAGGGTTTTCCAAGAAAATAGACGTTGTCATCAATAATATACATATAAAATGTATTAGCTCACTGTTTTAAGTAAAGTACAACACATGCATGAGTTCAAATTCCTAAATAACATGTAAACAACAGACAATAAGATACAAAGGTACATCAAAACCGATAATTGAGATTAATTAAAAGATATGGCTGGCGAAGTTCTATATTATTTGTTACTGTCAGCAATTCCCATAAAAAGATTAAAACAGTGCGTATTCTCCAACTTCCCTACTCTTCTCTGTAGGTGTCAGACAAAACTCGTTTGTTCCTTCAAAAATGTAAATCTTTAAAAATGGGTTCAAAATATATAAATATATACAATGGAGCTCTATGTAAGGGATGTAGAGAGATGTATCAGGCTTTGACTACACAGGCAATATTTTTGTTAGTACAAATATTAATTCATTCATTGATTTTGGTGTTTTTATTGGATTTGCTGACAATATGGAAAAATATTGAATATCACCAGACTTATCTCATAAATAAAGCTAATAATTAATCATTTCAGTTATTTCAGTGAGAGCAAATGATGAGGTTTGACAGTGCTGAGAGTGGCGTTACCTGTCTATCTTCTCCAGTCTGCTCAGTGCTTTGTCCAGTGGCAGCTTCAGTCTCCTCTGAGGCAATGGCCACAGGTTCCTGACACCAACAATGACATATATTGTAACAGTCTACATAAACAACCAGATGAAAATGTTTAATGCCTGAAAGAGAAAACACTCTTGTGAACAGGATTCATTCATCTACAGTGCGGTCACACAAATTACAAACCCTGTTCAATACTGCCCTCTAGAGGGAGAACGAAATCCAGAATACGGGTGTGCAATGAGGTTAAAAAAGAAAAGAAAAATGGATACTTTAGTGCCTGAAGAGATGTATTAAGGATCAGGAAAGGAATTGATATGATAAGTAGGGAAATGGTAGTAGAGGTGAGGAAGGTGAAGGAACCAACAGTGATGTGGAGTGCAGAGTGACCCAGGTCAGAGATTAGTCATACAGCTGTTACAAATGGTTTAATAGGTTTAATAGCATAACTGCATTACTGGGATTTATGACAGCAGATGAGTCATATGGTCTCAGGTGTCTCATTAAGCAACATAATTGATTAACTTTCAAATAATTTCCCATAATTTGCTCTAGAAATCAATATGGCATCCAGTGTGGTAAATCCCTCCCAGTCTATGTTAAGTAGATGACCTTGGGTAACAAGCATCTCCAAGGGTAGAAAGACATGACCAAAAGGATTGAAGGACAGTGAAATAATATTGGATGACAGTTTTTTCCACAGTAGCTCTCAACCTTCTTTACCTCTGGAGAAGTGCCCAGGAAAGCATCCCAGAGCCACCACAAAACACCTCCTCCACCTTCTTCCACTCTGTGCTGCTCACTGTCTTTTTTCTCTGTGGCTTCTTCAGCCTGGAGCACGCCCTGATGCTCCCGCTGCTGACATGGAATGTGCAGAGTCACACAGGGTGGGGATGGGGTTGGAGGGTGGGGTGGCGGGAGGTGGGGTTGGAAAGATGTGCATCTGGGACACTGAACTTCTAATTGACCACTGTTTCTGCTACTACAAATGCCTTTTAACCTTGATAACTTGTGAGAGTTTGTTAATTACCACGACATTTCAAAATCCTCTCCACTGATTTCTATATATCTTGTATATAATTTTATACAATTTTCCCATTAAATTCTGCCAGGTATATTTTGTACCTTTATGAACTCTGGGATCTGCACTAGACATTAAGTTTAAAAAGTGATCATGTGTCTGCTCAACATGTGTTCATGATGAGTTCAGTTGGGGAGGTTAACATGATGGCCGAACTTTTGATGTGAAAATATCTTGCTTCTAATTAACGCATAGCAGTATCTCAAACAATGTCATGCTCAATGTCCCAGTGCCTGCACTTTTAACAGTTTATACTCGACTCATGCTCAAAAATAATTTTCAATAGAAAAATTAGAATTGAACATGCAGGAAAACATACAACAACTCTGTAATATGTTACACTATTTGTTAATAACATATGTAAGAGTGGGTATGCATGCAAGTTAGTCCAAACCACTCCAGACTTTGTTGTAATGTACCATAAAGAAGCAACCAACACACTTTCTTTTCCAAGATCCATCTTTGAAGACTGCAGAGGGTGAGTATTTGATATTCAAAACTCGAAACAGTGAGGATAAACGTGTTTTGTTGGCAAACCACTGAGGATCTACTCGTGTGAAGGTGCAGTGTTAATTTCTTTTGTTATTTCTCTCAGTGCTCAAACTCTTCAGTAAGAGAAGAGATGAGAATGGCTTCCTTACCTGAGCACTGTCGGGTGTCAAGGACTGTCTCAGCTCAGGTGAGGACTGCTCCACGGTCAGCAGTGTGGCTCCAGATCTCTTCAGTACGTCTTCTTCAAGGTGGACAATTTTGATTTGGCCCTGCTCTGTGTCTTCCTTCTGAGAGCCGCCAGGGAAAAGCACAGTTATGTTAAATTGATGATTACTTGACTTTGGGGCTGTACATAATCTTGGCAATACAGGATTTTAAATCAATCCCAACTGGATATTTCCCCTAAAATCTCCAGATCTCCTACACCACTTCTGATCACTAAAATTAAACAGTCAGCTGATAACAAAGCACAAAACACAGTTAAGACAGTGACCCAGACTAACCTCAGCCCCATCTGAAGTGGATTTCAGGAGCTCAGACTGAAAGATAGCTTGCTCTGCTGACGGTGCTTTGGCTTGGATTGGAGTCGGAGGCTGCTGGATGAACACAGCAGGGACTTTCTACAAAAACAGTAAAGACAAGGGTTCAGTGATCGACAAGTCTATACTTCTGGACTGACTGACTAATTGATTAGTCGTTTAACAGACCTTCTCCAATTCCAGCAGCAGAGCCTGGAGATTGTCCACTACACTAAAGACAGTGAGAGTCTCGTCAGCTTTCTCTGGAAGACAAAGGCCTGGTTTACACTTCTGGATCTCTGCCACTGTTCTCCTCATGGTCTGGATTTTTTGTTCAACCTCCTGCAAAAAACATAAAAGGTGCATTCAGTATATTTTTGGCATAATGCAAACTTTCAATTTAGAAATTTGAGCCATTAAAGAATGCACTGACAATCACTGGAACAGTTTCACACATGATTTTAGTCTTTTCTCGTGCAGACAATCATGATGTGTTGATGTAAAATACTGAAGAAAGAGATGCTTCCTCTTCCTCATCTCACCTTAAGACCTTCCTCTCTGGGGCTTGGGAAAGTCTCTGGAGACGATAATAAAGTCTTGATCTCAGCCACATCATTCTCCATCCGTCTGACCTCAGTCTCAATGGCCTCCACTTCCTAGAAAACAAGAAATCCCTCAATATATTTGGCCATTTACAAAACAGAGAAGTACAGGAGCAGAGGGGTGAGAGTCAGTGAAGAGAGATGAGCTAAAATAAATACAATAAATAATACCTGTTGAAGAGTTTAAACACAACTAAAAAAAAGAAAAAGAATCAAGGACTCACAGCAGCAGCGTGCTCCAGCTGAGACAGAGGAGCAGTGAAGCTGTCTTGAACATCGGCCACTTGGCGATCAGCGTCAACCAGCTGTTGCTGGAGAGTTGTGACGTCGCAAACCTGCGACATTTCCTGCAGTACCGAGCTGAAGCCCTGCAGAGTGGTCCGGATCTGTGCTGAGTCATTCAACACCATCTGCAAGACAAGAGAGAGGAATATTTGTTCAAAAATGAGTTGACATTCAGTATAAATTCAGTAAAGAGCTGTATAAAGAAAGGGTAGTGTTGAAAGGACAGTGCAGCGTGCAGTTGACCAACCTGCAGAGCATGAACATGGCTGCTTAGACATTTAGCGGTGGTGTAGGTGCAGGGGGCAGCAAGCCATGACTGAGCTTCAGACATCCAGCTCTTAGAGCTGCTGATCATCTCCTGATGCTCCTGAAGCCACGTATGAATCTAAGCAGAAACACAAACAATATTTAGTTTGAAACCTTATTTAAAAAAAACAGACGTAATAAGTGAACACTGTGGCATAGCAACCAACCAGTGTGAGCAAACACTGTGAAACAGAGGGCAGATGGGAAGTGATGTCTTTCTGACCTTGCTGAGGAGGGTGGTCCTCTGCTCGGCCTGTTTGGCCAGTTGGGAGTGAAGCTGCTGGACCTCCACCAATCTCTCTGTGAGGCTCAGTGTCTCCTGGGGCTTCTCCAAATCCTGCATGTCCACCTCCAATGCTGCCAGACAAGAGTGCCACGCATCCAGGTCGTCCCATGCACGCTGACCAGACACAAGCACATGTGAAGGTTTACTGGTGATCTATTTATTCATTCAGACATGAAACTTGGCTTCGGGTGGACATTATGACAAAAATGAAAATTGTATATATATATACATTATTAGTAATTTTATCATTTTTCTGCAAGAGTGGAGATGAATAACACAGAGTCTCCTCCATGTCTCTACCCACCTTCTGAGTGATCTTTGCTTCAATCATGGTAGGACTTCTCTGTTCCAGTCTCTTCTGAACTGAGCTCAGGCCAGCGTGGATCTCAGACAGCTTTGCCCCCAGCCTGTGAACGGGCCCACTCCTCTCCACGGCATGTCCCACCTGATCAGCAATTACAGGAAGAAACAGAAAATGTAGTAATCAATTTGTTGTGATTGTGAGCCTTTCTGCAAATAAATGGATTAATCATTTTTTTTCCTGTTTAAAAAATTATTACTTTTATTCATTTTTAGTTTATTAACTGTCCCATGTTATGAACATTTTTAAGAAAGTCTACTGTAGAGACTTTTGTATATAATCCATTCTTACACTAACTAGACTCTTTAAATCTTCCCTGAAGTTGCTAGTTTTCAATACTATGTGTCAAAACAAAATTGAAGAGCCCAAAAATTTTCAATATTCAAATCAGCTACATTAAAATCAAATTTGTATGTACCTTTACTTCCACTTGTTGCAGTGATTGCTTGACTTCCTGCATTTGGCCTTCGATCTCAACCGGGACCAGTGTGTACATGTCAGAGTACTTCATTTTCAGGCTCTCCATGATGCGCTGCAGCAAAGCCTTCTGGGTATACAGATGGCTGTGGACCTCCTGAAACCACAGAGAGAACAGAGTCATGCTGATAAGTTTTGATTTCTGCACCAATAATATTTGCCTCCTTCTGGAAACACTTGTAAGTAGATTGTTAACAACAGTTAGTCACACATCCCTTTCCTACAAGCAACATCAGCAAAAGGAGGGGTGTAATTTTTGGTGTAATTGTGTAATTTTACAGTCAAATAGTGGAAATCTTGCAGTATTTTTTTGGAACAAAAGGACAGACATTGATCCTCTCTCCATCTGTCTGCGATTAACCTGCTCGTAAACCATCAGTGCTTTGTTAAACAGTCAGCTCTCTCTCCCATGTGCTGCTTTCATCAAACAGAGCCTACCTCTTCAAAGTCCTTCAATTCCACAATAGTTAGAGAAAACTCTTTTCACCCTCAACAAGATTCTACCTTACAGTAACAACCGACATTAAACAAAAAATAAAATCTGGTAAAATGTGAGAAATAACACAGAGGAGAGACTACCTTGGTCTGAATGCGTCCGATGCTCTGCTGAAGAGGGAGGTGCATCATGTTATCACGATGGGAAACTGAGCATGTTTTGTGTGTGTGTGTGTATGAGAGAGTGAGCGATACAAAGGAAGAGAGGGTATAAGGGAGATGGTTTCTTTGCATGAGAGAGAGAGAGACACGGTAAGTGCAAAAGAGTGTGTGTGTGTGTGTGTGTGTGTGTTCAAGTATGTCTATCTTTGCAAGGACCGTGTGTGTTTTTAGAGTGAGGACATTTCTAGTAAAGTGAGGGTGTTTTAGAAAGCAACATTGTTTAGCAATTTTTGAGAACATTTTCTCAGGTCCTGACTCTTTCAAAGAACTGTTTGGTTCGAGGGTTGGAACTGGGTTTAGGTTTTGGGGCTAGGGAATGTGTTGTGTGATGAATGTCCTCACAAGTATAGAAGTACAAATGTGTGTGTGTATCTATGAAGCGACTTTGCTACAAAGGCCACCTGGAAGATCCACTTACAACAGTGAACAAAAGGGTGTCTGGTACAAGAGGGGGAGTTGCGGTGATGGGAATGATGGGGGGAGATGTGGGGGTGTTCAGGTCTTTCATCAACACAGACCCTCTCCTAGGGGAAGGGAAGTGTGTGTGTGTGTGTGTGTGTGTGTGTGTGTGTGTGTGTGTGTGTGTGTGTGTGTGTGTGAGAGGAGTGAAAGCTGAAGTGGATGGGGAGATGTTGGCCTCTGCTCAGGTTTTGGGACAAAGGGCAGAGTGATTCTCCGAGTAGGTGGGTGGATAGAAGTGAACACCAGACACCAAACAGCCTCCGGGCCTGAGGCCAAGTCAACGGTTAAACGTTTCATATTTACCAGACACTTGTTAACGGTTTATATCCTATCAAAACCTTTAAAATCATAAGATCTGCAGACCTGAGAAGCTGTGAATTAATAAATTAATAAAAAAGTAGATATTTTCTATCCTTTTTCACCTGTGTTTTTATTTTAATGCATATGAAATGTAATGTAAAAACCTGTCACTTACTTCTAGTATTTGTGATGTTTGTGGTGCATCATTTGCAGTGTGTAGTGTTGATATGTTTCTGGACATGAGATTTCTAGCTGAGTGTTAAGACAAGTGTGTTTCAAGTGCTGTTTATAAAAATAGCCATGATGTTACAGTGAGTACAAACGCATCATTGTGTTTTCAGTTCAGCTGATGAAACTGTCCTGTCTCATTAGAGACCCATTATTTACAATCCACTGGTCAGGAGGGAGAGAGGAGCTCACACTCTAATGTGCTGTTTAAGGTTCAAAGTGGGATCTGTCCAGATCAGTGCAGAGGAGTCGCTCGCTTTCATGAGAAGTACTTAAATATAACTATTGTTTCCATTTCTTTGTAATAATAGGACATGGATGGATGGTTGGTTACATCACACTAATTTTATTTTCTATTTAACGATGCAATGAGCTTAAAATTAGGTTCCTTCATTTGTTATCTATGGTTTATGTGGAATGATGGCAACTCAGACAGGCTCAGACAATGCTTTACTTGTAGAGCAGGTGGCAGTAATCACTGTCAAAATAAAATCTGACAAATCAACAAGCTACTTGTGAGGACTTGTGTCGTTGGATTTGTAGAACCTCATACAGCATTGGCAAAACAAAGTTAAATGTGCTGTTGTCTCTCAGAGAACATCAACAATGAGGGATGTTTAATGGTGAGAACGTGCTCCTTGATGTAATGCTGGCTGTTTGGAACGCAGAAATGTGCCTACACATCAGGGCAGAGTTGAGTTTTCACCTTTTTGCAACCAAAACACCCACAAAATGAGAGCAAAAGCATGTTCAAAAACTTTCGCCTTTCCAACCACTGTTGAAAAGAAGACAGCAGGTGTGATACAACCTTGATAAACACAATTTCATGCAAAAGAGTATCTACTATCCACCTGAAGCTCCTGTGTGCTGTTGCTCTGCTCCATCTCTGACAGAAGACCATCTGCAGCCTCCAGCCAAACCCGGATGCCCTGCAGTTCGTCCCGAACCTTTTCTCTCTCCTCCAGCTCCATCCTGGATGCCTCTAAACCCTCCCTGCTGCTCTGCTTCACACTGTGGAAACACATAGACAAGTACATCCAGAGAGAGTAGGTAAAAACTGTACAGACTCTTACCTTAAATGCATGAAAGTAAGTTTGCATTGAGAACAACATCCACCATTAAACTGAAAGCACAGAGGCACAGTAGTTCAAGCACTGTCAGTGCAAATGTATTTTAATAGTGTACCACAGAGGCACTGCTGTCTAACCTGACCCACTTTTCCCTGCATTTGTTTATCTTAACAGGGCTTATGGGAAATTGAGTTTTTCCTGTAAACAGTCATATACTTTTCCAAGAGCAGAAATCATTATGAACGGGGTTCAATATATCCGTCAAGGAGGTTATCTTTTCACCTGTATCTGTTTGTTTGTTTGCATGAGATTTGGAGGCAAGCTGGAAATTTACACTTGCAAATTATGTTCTATATAAATACTAGGTGACCAATCAAAGAATTTCAAACTGGATTTTCATAGATCATCACCTTACCACTTCAGCAGCACTGATGTGAGTAAAGTTCTGAACTGCACACCAAACAACATCTCACCTGCCATATCGCGCTTGCATCGCCTGCAGCTGCTGACAGAGTGGGGTGGGAGGAGCTTGCTCTAGGTGGGCGGGGACACCCAGCAACCTAGCAGCGCGCAGTTCCAGTGCAGACAGGGATCGATGCTCACAGTCCAGTCTGTCCTGGTACTGTTCCCAGGACTGCAGCAGGTCATGAAGCTCCTCAGTGGAGGCCTTCACCCCTGAGCCTTCAGGAAGCTCTGCCTCCACCTGCTCCAGGACAGTAGAGGCCTTTTCCACCTAAGGAGGGAATTGGAAAATGTATACTTGGACTTGTAAATTTAGGATGAACTGTTGACTATACAGAAAGAAAATACATAGATAATTTAATGTACTTGTTAAATCTGTTATTAAAGCACATGGTTCTCACATAATACTCTTGCATTACTCTTACAAAACCAGCCACTGACATTTTTTTCAAATGGAAATTTTTATACCTTGAAGTCAGAGTGCATGTAAAGCTGACTCTACAAATCTATGTCTGTATCTACATCAACTTACACTGTTGGTGATATCACTCCATTCTGTGATCCTCTGTTTACTACGAGTCGCCAGCTCCTGTGTGCAGCGCCGTAGTCTTGATACCCTTTTCCAGACAGCAGCCACAGCGGCCTCCCTGCCTCCACGACAGCTCTGCTCTGGGCACCACTCCTTCAGCTCCTCCAGACGCCTCAGCAGGGACTCCACCTCCTCAGACAAAGCCTGCACGAGAAAGGGTCAGGTCAGTTGTTTCTTTTTTTTTTTTGTTGTTTTCATTTTTTGACATAACTTGTTTACAAAAGTATTAGAGGGGAAAAATACAAGGCCCCAAAGAACTCAACCTTGCAGAGAAGCAATCTGTTACGTACTCTGAGCTTTGCCTCTTGGTCAGTGCAGTCAGCGAGACAGATGACTTTTTCAGAGATTAACTGCAATAGGCTGCTCTCTACACTCTTCATACTCTGGGTGATTTCATCATGGCACTTGATGTAATTTCTGTGATGTTCTGCACACCTGAAAGACAGAAATTCATTAAAGAAGAAGTGACTGCTTGTAGTCATATGCATAGAATGGCTGTGTATTCTAAGGTATATGGTAGATCCTGCAGTCTCTACCGGATGATGTGTTTTATCATCAAGTCACTGTTATCTCTCCACAAAACATAAACTGTACACTACTTCTTTACTCTTAAAAATTGTATATAAAAGAATTTTCTATCCTTGTCGTTGATGAATGTGCTGTGCAATTTTAGTTTTCCCTTTCACACATGCAATTACACACTGGCATCCATAAGACTTCGATTAGGAGTTGAGGAATCAGAGTTTTATCTTAGAGCCTCGTACCTGCTGAGACACTCCAGTTGGACATGGCCCTTTGCCTGAAGAGTGGACATCCTCACCAGGAGCTGGCTCAGAATATCTTCCAGGAGCTGCTGCACCTTCGGAGGGGACAGGTAAGGATGCAGATCAAACTGGCTCTGGAGCTGCTCCACGTGGGTCTGGAATTGCTGCTGCAGGGCAACCAAAGCCTTCTGGGTCTCCTCCAGTCTTTCAGAGCAGAGACCAACAGGGCCCTGTGGCGGCAGCAGAGAGACCTCGATGTCCCCCAGGAAATGTACTGCTCGTTTAACAGCAAAGGTGTAGCTTCTCAAAGCCTCCCTGGCCTGCGAGATGCTTTCCTAAAATATAATGAATACAAATTTTAACTACAAATTGTAATCATACTTGGGCTGTATTTTTCTAGTCAGTTCATTCAGTTTATTGATGTTTTTGACAATGTTATCCATTTCCAGTATAATTTGTCATTGCTTTGTTTAACAGTATAATGGAACTATGCTGAGTGCAGTACGATTCAAAGCTGAACCAAGAAGTAGCTCTGCAAAATGTGAAAGACAAAAGTTTCAGACATCATCTTCCAAATGAGTGGTTTAAATAATATGGTAAAACCAGGGGTTGTTTATGTGTGTGATTATATTCAGATTGTGCCTGACCTAACCAGTTCCATAAGTTCTGACCCTGGCCTTTCATAGTTAAGATGGCAAGCACAAGTTTATCACTGTTTATGACCATTGATGGTCAAGACTGCAAAAATAAGACCAGGCTTTTCTTTGCCCAGGAAACTTTTAAAATCTTTATTTCAGCAGTAATATCTTAGTTTTGCCAAGGCTTGAATGTCATCTGCGTTGGATTCTTTCTTGGTGTCAAATGTTTTGAACCTGATCATGAAACAGATTTTAGTGGACCTGGTTTTGGAAATGCCCGGGACTTGACTAAAGAAAATAGTTTATGCCCAGGACAATACTTAAGTATGAAAATAATGTGATGAATTTGTTTTAGCCTGAGGACACTTGTCAGACACAGAATAATATTGTATTAATTAACTTTCAAATGCTTCTCTGGGATTTTCTAAACATTAAAACACTATTGTCTAATATGTAAAAAGCATATGAAAAATGAAGGAGAACAATGCAACTTGCCATTTTTGAGTCACATTCACTGATGACTGCATCCTTCAAGACCATCAGATCTTGGGATCCACTTCCTTTTTTCTTGCCCTTTTTTTGCTCTAGAACCTCCAGTGCTCTCATTCTTGACTCTACAGTCTTTTTCAAAGACATGATTCTCTGGTATTCCTTGTTGATCACTGTTTCATTCGGCTCCACCACGGTGAGTGTCTGGAGCTCCTGCTGGGTCTGCGAGAGGAAGGCCCGAGTGGCTTTCTTCTCCGATTCAAGGTCCAGTCCCTTCAACAGGTTCCACTCGATGATGCTGAGGTTGTTGTAGAGCGTAATCTCCAAGGTGTCGAGGCTCTCCTCATTTTGTTTAAGCCTCTGTCGTTCAACAGTCAGCTGGGAGGGGTAGAGGTCGGCGGAGATTATCTGAAGTTTGGTGTGAGCCTCTTTACACAAACACTTCATCAGGGGAAACTGGATGAGTAAGGTCTGACAGACTTTGTACTTCTCCTCCAGCTCCTTGCTGTCTTCTTTACTCTGCCGGACCTGCTCCTGAACATCCTCCCTGAGGTCCTCCACACACTGCCTCATGTTCAGGTACCTTTCATGATCAGTGGCTTTCATTTCCAGGCTAACAATTTTGCTGTAAAGTTCAGAAATGACTGAGTGCAGCTCCCTTGTTTTTTCCCAGGGAATCCAGGGTTGCAGGAGGTCAACCTGGGACTTGTGCCCCAAAATCACGTGTTTGAAAGGCTCCAGAGCTTGCAGGGACTCTCTTGTGATGGGAAACCTGTGTTTGTTGAGATCCACTAACATCAGCCTCAGGCTTTTTTCAATGGTGACAAGGTTTTTCTTGTTTGACTCTACAGACTTAATGAGTTCATCCAGCTCCTTTTTGTTGGCCTTCTCACAGCTACTGATAGCTCTGATGTCCTCCTGGAGGTTAGTAAGCTTTTCAAAAAGCTGACAGTTCTCTGTGATGCTGAGTTCAGAGGAAATGTCTTTACTCTTCATTAAAAGAGCCTCACAGACAGCGGCCTGCTTTTCAGCCTCAGACAGTGTCTCCTGCATCTGACGAACTCTGCGATCAAGTTCAGTGGGGCTTCTGTACTCACTGTCTGCACTCCTGGAAGCCTCTCGGTGTAGATGAGCCACAACCCAGGAATCTAAATCTGCAATCTGCTCTGACAGCTTTTCTCTGGTCTGCAGCCCTGACTCTATGTCTCTCACAGCCTTGGCTAGCTTATCAGTGGTGGACTTAGAGATTTGTTCGAGGGATTCCAAAGAAGCGCGAACCATGGGCACTTCCTCAGCCTGGTCCAGCTGTGGAAGCAGCTCCGTCAGCTCCTCCACCAGTGACTCCAGTTGGCCCTGTTTGACCATCACCTCAGACTGCAGCTTCTTCAGATCTCTGAGCTGCCGGTGAACCTCTTCAGGAAGGAGAGACACCCTTTTCCTCCTGCCCTCGATGTCACTCTCTGTCTGTTTAGCCCAGGCAAGGCCATCCCTCATCACCACAATAATTTTCTCCATGATGGGGTTGCTGCTGTTCTGGGTTTGGGTGGACACTAGTTCCTCTGTGTGGCTAAGCTTGTCTTTGACTGTCTGGAGCCCTTGTTGGATTTCTTTTGTTTCCTTCTCCCACCGTGGGCTGAGCAGTAGTGTCTCTGAAAGCTGCTGCAAATGGATGCATTTCTGCTTGGCAGCTTTAACCTCAGCATTTGCTTCCATCAGCTGCTGTGCTTTCTTGCAATTCCACTGAGTAACTGCAGGAGACTTGACTTTAAGGTCTTTGTCAATTTTTTCCAAGTGTTCCTGTAGATCTAATATCTCTGACCGAAGGCTGCTGATCTCGAGAGAATGGACGTTTGTGTGATGGAGGGTCCTCTCCACAGCTCTCTCCAGGCCTCTCCACTTCTCTTGTAGGTTCCTCTGCTTATTCTGTGCGGTTGCACGCTCAGACTGGCTGAGATGGGGGCACAACTTGGTATAGGTCACAAGCAACTCTCCGAGTACTGTTCTGCTCTCCTCCATACTTCTCTGTAAGGAGGATAGTTGCTCTGCCTCCTTGGAGCTGCTCTGATCTGGGCACCTGAAAGAAAAACAGAAAAGGCTACACATCATATGCTTGGCATTTGGGTTGTTGCAAAAGATTACACAAGACATACTGTAGGTATGAGAGAGTATATTTCAATGCCACACAATCCATGTCTCTTGATACATCTTTGAGAATTATGGTCCAGTCTCAAACTGTTCAAACTCACATTTTCACAGCGTCCAGTTGTGCTGTCTGTCTCTCCATTGTGGTCTTGGCTCTTTGAGTGTGTCTGCAGTAATCAGTCACAAGCTGCAGCTGGGCCTCTTTACTCTGGATCACAGCAGCTGCATCCTTAACAGCGGTGCTCCACTGATCCTCTGCATGCTCCAGCGTGTCCCGGCTCTCACCATCAGCTCCTCTGAGCTGGGAGAGGGATGACAACTGCGCCTGGGCAGTGTCTCTGCACTGCTGTACTCAACAAGTCACAGTAAACACACAGAACATTATTCAAAACCTGAATTTTTTAATGCAAATCTTATGTTTATCTAGACTATCTGAAAATTAATACTACACATAAGTAAACTGCTATGAGTGGTTTCAAACAGTTACAACCATACAAGGGTAAGCTTCACATTGCTTTGGCAAATGTGTGCTTGTTTTACTATCCATGTCTTGACTGGTACAGATATCAATTAAAGATGCCCAATTCTGGAGGTACTTTGGCATCATTAAATGTTTTACCAACCTACTGTCCAACTCCACAACACCTATAAATCCAGCTGCTGCTATAAATCATTGATATTTCTCTGGTGAGTCATGTTGTCTTTCATCTCACCTGAGCCTCCTCCACCTGCTGGGCCATGGCTGTCAGGCTGAGCTCAGCCGGGCGATTCTTGAAGCTCAACACTTTAGATACCAGTCTGCTTAGAGAAGCATCCAGATCACTGTTGGATGTAATCAGAGCCTCTGGAGCATCCTCAAGTGATTTACCCTTGAGACAAAGAGACACATCAGAGCTTGGAATCTGAAAATTCAGTCTGAAAACCAAAGAATGTTTAGACCTGAAACTGAGAAGTTTTATTCAAAGTAATGTGTGCCTCTAAAGATAAGAAGTACTCTAAAAAGATTGAGTTTCTGAATTAAGAAATTGCACCAGTCTTTGAGGACTTCACTGTGTATTTATCATTATACAATGGAGAGCAACAGGTAGGATGTAAAAGAAAGAAAAGAACATGACAACCTGAGCTATATTAATACCAGCGATTCTGTGATACAAATCACAGCTTTATTCTCTTTTGATTTAAAGACTCTGTGTAGGATTTCACAGTTTCTAACTTTGGCAACTCCTGGTGGTAGCATCAAAAAGGCACTATTTCAGACAGTAATCTTAATACCTCAATGAGTTGACTGCTGGGTCCCGTCCCTGGATGCAGCTGTATTTCTGTGAGGATGTTCCTCATTGCGAAGCCTTCTGGTGCCCCCAGAACGAGTTTCTCAGTCTTCAAAACACTTTCTTCTGCTTTGTTTTCCTGAGTCGGTAATCCTTCCACCTGGGTAACTTTATCCAGGATAATGTCAGTAGACGATTTCTGAACCGCCTGCAGTGATGCAGGTGATATCTTGTCAGCACTGGGCACCTGCTCCTATTGTGGACACAAAACACCAGTATTAATGCAAGAAAAATTATGACATACAATTGTATACTGTTTCGGTTGAGCTAAGAAAAGAACTCTCTCTCTTTGTGACCACAAGTCTATCCCATTTGAATCATAACTTTTGTCTGAAAGTGCACCGAGTGTACTGCCTATGAGCTGCAGGATAATTATATCATGTATGAGGTAGCTCATATTCCTACCCTGAAGCACTGAAACCTTTGATAGCACAGGTAATAAATGTCTCAGGATTATGTTCTTGGCTTTGCTTGTAATGCTGATAAAACATAGCCATGTAGCCATGTTCAGTAAATATTAATCATATCATATTAAGTAAATATCTTGTGAAAACTGTAGGCTTTTTCAGAGGCTCTATAGGTGAATTGACCAATCATCAATGGACATATAAAGAATGTTAGAGATCAAGTGCAAACATGTATATACAGGAGACAGTTTCTATGTGACCTCCCTGGAGCAAGAAACCTATATTTATCCTCTTTTCTCAGGATATTGTTTTATCTCTCTGTCTCTGTTTACTCCACTTGTGTTTGAAGAATATGTAATATTAGCTTATGTAGGTATTTTGTGCTGTTGCTGACACTGCAAACTGACATGATTCTTGAAGGGAAAAAAAGTTGAAGACGAGAATAGATTGTAATTTTCCTTAAAACAATACCAAATACATTAGTTTAGTTGTTTGTTGGTATAGTTTCAAATATTTTTAACTGCTAGAAAGCAGATTACTGCCCCTCATGTCTTACCTGTGGCAAACAGACGTCCTGAAGCCTCACTTCATCAGTGGTGGTTGCTGAGGCCACATTTTGTAGCTCTACTCTAACCATTGTTTCCCTTTCTTGTTCCTGAATTGGCCTCTTCTTCTCCTCCTCCTGTTCTTCTTTCTTTTCTGTTGCATCTGTTGTGTGTTTGTCCATTTGGGCTTCATGGGACACACTGAGTCCAGGCAGGGATTCAGTACGGCTCTCTTTCACTTCTACCCTGGTCATCTTTACTGCAGATTTGTCAGGCTGAACGTCTGTGGTAGTCATATCCTTGCTTTCTTTAACTGTCTCAAACTCGATACTTGAATCCATCCTTGGTTCCTCTTCTGTGACAGTTTCATATTCATGTACACTCATGTGGATTTCTCTTTTTGTACCAGATTTTGCATCCTGGCTCTTGGGTATATCATCTATTTCATGTGTCGACACTTGTGCATGTTCTTCTTGGACACCAGGGTCCGTGACTTCTTTGAGACTTTCCTGTGCGGTTGTAAAGAGTTCTACCTGAGTATCAGTTTGTTTTGGTTTAACCGTGTCTTGTTCAGAAAAGCTTATTTCTACTAATTCTGTCTTTTCATTAAGGACCTTGGGTGAATCATCCATGACATGTTTCTCAACCTTCACTTCTATCATGGTTGTTTCAACAGCAGTCTTTTCTGACTGAAC